GGTGTGTTGGGTGTGTGAGGTGTGTTGTGTGTGTGTGGGGTGTGTGTGGGGTGAGTGTGGGGTGTGTGTGTGTTGTTGTGGAGAGTGAGTGGTTTAGTGTGGTTGTGTGTGGGTGTGTGTGAGAGTGTGGGTTGTGTGGGGGGGTGTTGTGTGAGTGGTGTGGTGTGTGAGTGGTTGTGTTGGTGTGTTGTGTGTGTGTGGGGTGTGTGTGGTATGTGAGGTGATGAGTATGAGGGTGTGAAGGTAAGTGTGGGAGATGTATATTTATGTGGTTGGTGTGGTGGGTGGGGGGGGGGGGGGTTTGTTTTTGGGGGGGGTGGGGGTGTTATGGGGTGTTTGGGGGTTGTGTGTAATGGGGAATAAAGTGGGTTTTGGTTTGGGTATTGGTATTGGGTTGGGTGTATGTTGGTGGTGGTGGGGATGGGTGGGGGTGGGGGGGTGGGGTGTTTGGGTGTTTTGGGTGGTGTTGGGTGTGTGGGGGTGGTTGGGGGGTGGGTGGGGTTGTGGGGTGGGGTGGGGAAGGTGTTTGGGGTGGGTGGGGTGTTGTGTGGGGGGTTGGTGGTGGTGGGGGGTTTTTGGGGGGGTTGGTTGGTTGGGGGGGTGTGTGTGGGGGGTGTGGGGGGGTGGGGGGGGTTTTTGTGGGTGGGTTGTGGGTGGGGGGAGTGTGGGGGGGGGGGTGTGGGGGGGGGGGGGAGAGGGGATTTTTTGTGTGTGGGTTGTTTGATTGGTGTGTTTTTTTTTGTGGTTGGATTTTAGAATTAGGTTTGAGTTGTTTTTTGGTTATTTGGTGTTTGTTGTGTGGGGGGGGGGGGTTTGGGGGGGATTGGGGATTAGGTGTTGGGGGTTAGGGTTGGGTGGTGGTGGGGGGGTAGGGAGTTGGGTTGGGGTTGGATGTTGGTTGGTGTTAAGTTTTTTTAGGGGGTTGGGTTGGGGGTGGGTGGGGGGGGGGGGTGTTGGTTGGGGATGGGGGGGGGGGTGGTTTGGGGGGTTTTTTTTTTTGTTTGGTTGGGTGGTGTGGTGGGTTTGGGGGTGGGGGGTTTTTGGGTATTTTTTGGGGGTTTGTGGGTGGGTTTGTTGGTTGGTGGGGGGGTGGGGGTTGGAGGTGTTTTTTGGTATTAGTGGGTGTTTGGTGGGAGTGTTTAGGTGTGGGGTGTTGGGTTGGGGTTTGGTGTTGTGTTTGGGTTGTGATTTTGGGGAAGGGGTTTATGATGGGTGTGGGTGTTTTTATAGTGGGGGGGGGAATTGTTATGGGGGTTGAGGTGGGTGGGGGGTTGGGGGGGGTGAATGTGTGGGGGGTAGGGGGGGTATTAGGGTTGGGGTGAGAGTAGAGTAGAATGGGGAATATTATTGTTTGGTTTTGGATGGGTGTTGTTTTTTGATGTGGGGTGTTGGTGTGGTTGGTTTGTTTGTTTTGGGGGTGAGGGGGGTGAGTGGGTTGGGGGGGTGAGGGTGGTTTGAGTATGGTATATTATAGGGGTGGGGGGTGGGGGAATAGATTGATTATTTTGTGGGGGGGTGGGGTGGTGGTTGGGGGGGGGGTGGGTGGTGGGGGGGGGGGGTGTGTAGGGTGGGGGAGTGGGTGGGGTTTGTGTGGTGTGGGTTGTGGGGGTGTTGGGGGGGGGTGGGGTGGTGGGGGGGGGTGGGTGTGAGGTGTGTTGGGTTTATTGGGTGGGTGTTGTGGGGGTGGGTTTTGGGGTGGATTTTTGGTGTGTGGGGGGTGGGGGGAGATGGTTGGGTTTGTTTGTGTAGTTTGTATGTTGGGTTGGGTTGGGTGGTGTTATGAGGGTTGAGGTGGGGTTTTGGGTGTGGGGTTTGTGGGTTTGTGGGTGGTGAGTGGGGTTGTTGGGGGTTTTTTGGTTGTGTGTATGGTGGGTTGTGGGGGGTTGGTGGTTGTGGGGGGGGGTGTATTTTGGTTGGTGGTTGGGGGGGTGGGTGGTTTGTGTTGTGTGGGATTGGGTATTGGGGTGGTGTTTTGGGGGTGGGTTTGTGTTTAGGTGGTGGGGGGGGGTTTGGGTTGTTGGGGGTTGTTTTGTGGGGGTTGATGGGAGTGTTAGTATTTGTTAGGTGTTTAGGGGTTTGGGGAATTAGTAGGGGGAAGGGGGTGTGGGTAGATGTTTTTTTTGGGGAGTTTTTTAGTGGAGTTTTTTGGTATATAGGAAGGGGGGTGGGGGTGTGGTGTGGTTGTTGTTTGGTGTTTGGGGGGGGGGTGTTTGGGTTTGGGTGTGTGGTTGGGTGTTTGGGGGGGGGGGGGGGGGTTTTGTGGGGTGTGGGGGGTGGGGTTGTTGTTGTAGAATAATATGTAGGTTGGGGATGAGTTGATTGGGGGGTGAGAGAGATTATTTTATTTGGTGGGGGGGGGGGGTGGGGGTTTGGGGTGGGTGGTGTGTCCCAGACTGTGACGTCATCGGACCCTTTGATAGAAACTGCTGGGAGGAGATTGGCGTCAGTCAGCCGAGGGCAGGAGAGAGGGACATATATAGTTTTAGGAGCACTTTTTGTTGAACATTCTGTATCTGATTGTAAAGATAATTAAATGCAGATGTTAAACGTGAAGATCTCTTGTCTCGCTCTTGCATCGACTTTGGATACGTCAGTCAAGGGAATTATTGACTTCATTTTGGTGAATCCCGACGTGATGGGGCAGGAGCGGGGACAGAGATGGTGCTCAGTTATAGAGACTGGATTTGGTGGGTTTGGAAAAATCTCTCTGCTCTTCAAAAAGGTCGCTTCTAAGGTAAGCGGATCACAGTTTTGGAAATCTGCACATTGTTTTAAATAGAAGAGAGAGAGATTTGGGCTCGACAGATTGCAGCGTGGCCAGGCGACCGCCGTGACGGGGCGTTCTATCGGACGCGATAGAACAATAGTCAGGTTTAGACGGTTTTAACCTTGGGGGAAGCATGGGTCCCTCCAAAGAAAACAGAACAGATGATGAAAAGAGCCACAGGATTTAGAAGTGCAAAAGAGGCACACCTTCGTGCAGAGAGGCACAAGGGATATTAGTGAAAAAATAGGTATAGAATTAGAGAGATAGGGATAGTTAGGGTCAGAAGTTATAGGATAATAAAAACTCCATATCCCCCGGGGGTGGGGAAAGGGCACAATTAATTTAAACAGAAGAAAAGCCAAGTATTTAAAATGTGGATTCTGATAATAATGATCTGATTAATGAGGAAAAGAGAGCCTCTTGGCTGTAGTATACGAGTTTCATGTGAAGAAATGACAAAAGATCAGTCTGGGAGTTTTTCTCTTGTATTCTGATGTAATGTTTCGATAGTTACAGAGAATCAGGAAAAAAAAAAAAGATTCTGATGGAACTCTCGATACTTTATTCATGTAGCAAATGGTAATGTTTTCCATTACTGACGTATTTAAGGATATAATTGTTAAGTGTCGTTTGACGTGAGAATAACCTTTTTACCACTGATTTAGTGTACCTTGTCACGAGAGAAAAATGGAAATAAAGAGATAGTATTTGAACTCACATGCTCCTGTTGGTTCGGGAGGCCCCTCTCCCTCTCCCTAGTTCTGTCCTCTCTCTCCCCCTCTTCTCTCCTCTCTCTCCTCGTGAAGAAAGAATTTTTTTGTAGAAAATTACATTTATACACACGATAATGTTACTGACATGGAGTCTATGGTTCACAGGAACTTTGAGTTAGATTATAAAGAGGCATTATTTGATTTTTTATCTCCAAGGCGTCTAGACAAGTTTTTTTCTTCCCTACATTTTGGTGATATAAAAGTTAGAATGATCTTAGAGAGCATTATTACTTTTTGGAAAATTTGAGGCTTTAGGATAGTCAGTTGAATGCTGATTTGGTTTTCAGAATTTAAGGTTTAAAATGTTAATAGTAATTATTTTCATAGGTTTATTTTGAAATTGTAATTAATCATTGGTTTGGTATGGGTGTTTATACACACTTGTTTGTGTTTCTTGTTTGTCTGTTTTTTCCAGAGAAAAAATTCTGTCTGTTTAATTTGGCCAATATAATCGTCACTGCCACAAACCACAACCGAGCTTCATCATCATCTTCAGCGTACTCCCCCTCTCCCTGCGGGTCGCAGGGTGGCGAGCATCGGCTGCAAGCAGCTAACAGGAACTCTCGAAAGGAAGACTTCCTCCTGCCTGTGAGGGAGGCAATGATAAGACCGCAGACTTTTTCACAAAACTGAGTGTTGTCCCATCCACGAAACAGAAGGTGGCGGTAATGCGAAGAATAGGCCGCCAACCGCCGGAAAACCAAACAAGAAGAAGAAGGACACGACACATTTGGGTGCGTCAGAGATATGAAAGAAAGAAGAAAGACATTATGAGGAAAAGTTATCGGAAGGAAGAAGAAAGGTGATTGTTGAAAGAAGAAGAATGAAAAAACATTGTGAGTTACAGAGTTATGGAAGAAGAAAGAAGGATTGTTGAAAGAAGAAGAAAGACATTTTGTGCAGAAAGAGTTATCGGAGAAGAAAGAAAGTGATTGTTGAAAGAAGAAGAAAAAAGACATGGAGACAAAGACATTGGACACTATGAGACAAAAGACATTGAAAGACGCCATGAGTAAAAGAAAGACATTAACGGACATTTGAGACGTGGCTGGCCTAAATGAGACACACAGAAGGTAAATATACAGACAGGCAACAAACGCACAGAGACATATTAAGTCATATTTACACATTTAGGTCATTCGTTCATAACACTACATTTAGCTGCATGAAAGAATACAGGACAATCGTTAAAATTAATTAGACTCTTGCTTTAGCATGAGACACAAGGAGATTAGAACAGCAGTATATTTAAAGTAGAGGAGCTCTATTATTGAAACTAGTATTATTTAAAGTTATAGACGCGGAGAAGTTTAGAATTATTGATTTTAACTGCATGATCTTGGTAATACGGATATTTAAAGCAGTGTTTTCAACCTTTGAACCGTGGCTCGTTAATCATTTAAGAACAATCACATGCACAGATGAAACTGGTGCTAGGAAGAGAACTGCAGCTTTTAATGGACGTTGCATTTAGTACAAAATGGTTTGTTCAGACAATTAAAGTTTGAAAAATGATTTAAAGCATTTCTGAATTTTGGCTAAAGGTGATATTGGATCATTTCTGATAACACATAGATGCAACACTGTTCATTGGTTGAAAACAAAGATGTAGGGACATTTTTTGAAATCTTTTATGACATGTTTCTCTTCCAAATAGCTAAATTAGAAACAATTAGGACAATTATGTCTTTGATATAACTGTTGGCAGTTTATCTGAGACATGATTGGTGCAAGTACACACACATAAAACAATGGTCTTTTCTCCACATGAACGTGAAACAAAGGTGAAGTATTAAAGTTTGAAACTAATTTACATTTTTAAGGAATCCGAACTGGCTTTAAAAAAAAAAGGGAAAAACATTTATTGCACGTGCATGAGTTTTTTTTTTAAGTAACAAGAGCTCATTAAAAATATAGGGGACACAGTTTGTGACAAGCCCGAGTAAAGACCACGTGGTTTAAACACTAAAGTTTGAAATGGATCCTTTTAGGAAAAATCTCTCAAAGCTTTGCATGTTCTGCAGGCTCTGAAAGTTGCAACTATAAAATAGCTCATGAGACAATTGTAATTGGACATGGAAAAATATAACAAAGTTAAAATTACAGGCCTCTTGTGTTGTCTATATGTTTGTGTATGTTATATGTTTGTGCGTCATGTCCAATACACTACGTTGACCTTAACAAACTGGACCAATACTAACGTCGGCCTGTGTGAGTGGGATGCGAGTGTGATGTGAAATGAGGAGTGGACGAGGAGTGCTGAACGGAGAATGGAATAACAAAAGTTTTCTGTAATGTTTTAATGTGATCATGGAATAATTATTTTTTGTCAACAGCATACGGTGTAAGTACTAGAGATTCAAAGATGACAAGCTTTATTGAACAGGTGTAAAAGTGAGAGTACTCTGGGATGAGTACTCTGAGAAAAGTACTCTGAGAAAGTACTCTGAGATGAATACCTTGCTGAAGGTACTGGGAGCCCCTCCCTCTGCTGTTTGTCCGGACAGGGATTCGGTCCAACCGCAGTGAGCGGTCATTAGGCGGAGGACAACTTTGGTTTGTAATTCACATTTAGGGGAGTATAAAATTAGAAACATACATATTGTTAAGTCTGTATTTGGCTACAGCCTCTGCCCTGATGCCACACACCGTCTGTCAATGCAGTTATGTTTTGCCCAATTGGATTGATTGACAGGCTGCACCATGCGAAGAGAGGGAAGTGGGCGTTTCTTGTGTTCTAATGTTTCTTTTTCAGATGAAAGATAAACTGCACCTGCTTCAGGGATAACACAGTAGTATGGATCATAAGGAAATGAGCCTCTACTTTGGCACCAAAGCCCACAATATGAATTGAGGACGATCCGGGAGGAACAACTGGAGAGGATTGGAACAGTAATCTACACACACACAGATGCATGTTTTATACTTTGGACCACGACCAACAGAGGGGAGTATTGTATTGTCATAGGTGGTCATGGTCCTTAACCTTCTAAATCATTAGAAAGAAGTGTAAAACATATATTTACAAGAACAAATAAATAATAGAAAGGGCAGCCTAAAAAAGCAAAATGGGAAAATTATTAAGTAATTTTCGGAGTTGCCAAAATGAAATAAAATTCTATATTTGTCCCATAGGGGGTCATTCTAAATTTAGTGTTGTGCAAATTTAAAAGGAGAAATAATAGCGCTTATAACATCAAACAGATCTACTCTTTAAGATAATAGATCATACAATAATAGAATAGAATGAAATAGTCTGGAGCTATAATGTCATTGGATTCGAGGAGCTATAGGTTGAAAGGTCGCTAGGAAGAGGTGTCAGAATAAACAATAGTAATAATAGTTAGACTAGTGAATAATCAAAATAGTTCTATTGTGGAAATAAGTATCAATAAGGTCAAATTGTTCTAATAACTAAAGTAAAAAGGAATCAAATGGAGTCAGATTTTAGATGTTTTCTGTTTTCCACATCTGTAGGAACTGGTGCAGAGGTGTTTATAGAGAGTAGTATTAAAATGCAGACATAGAACGACAGGCTTTAACACAATTTTAAATCTAAAAATAGCTCAAATATAACATTGCTCTTGACGCGGCCTCTGAGCTGCTCCATTGGAGAACAGGTTAAATGTTATTGTTTATTACAAACAGCTGATGTATTTACACACATTAAGTTTGGGACAAGTCTTTAAACAGTTATAAGCAGCGGACAGAAGCCATGAATGTGCTTTTGTTTATTAAATAATTAAATGCATAGCCTTATAATCGTAGAGAACGTTTTAAAATAGTTAAAATCCCTTTCAGGCAACTTGATTTAGATGTATGTCTTTAATATTGGAGAACGACTGTGTTGTTTTTGGAATTGTCTGAAATACAATACATAGAATAGTGATTTGCAGAACAAGAACCAGCCAATGAAAAATCGTCTATTGCCAATGCAATTGTTACAATCAGAACTCAAAA